AGAAGCAGCTATTGAGGAAGGCAGTCTTAGTGTGGCCTGAGTGCAAGTGTTCGGTGAGGAAAGGCTGTATTGGAGCTCAGGTACTTGGGATTTGGGCTCTGAGGGGTTGGGGGAGAAGGTGGTTGCTGGTTAGGAGGATCTGGGTTTTGGGAATCTATTGCAGGTGAGGGAAGGGATGTATAAGGGGATGGAGGGCGGTGTTCTGCTGGGTCAAACGTAGATTCAGAATCAGAAGTGTTAGGGGTGTGATGTTTTGTGTGAAGGAGAAAGATCTGATGGTTGGAACATAACTGAGAAAATTGGGACTGAAGGGTGAAAAAGGCCTGGGCATAGGGAATCTCTCACCATTTTTCATTGTAGTGACAGCAATTACCTAAATTGTGCAATGTGTTAAAATTAAAAGTGCCATTTTTAGGCCATTGAGACATATTCATCTAGTTTATATTGTGGCCAGTGTTACAAAAGAAAATGAGGTGGTTGGGCATGATCTCCCCCGTGAGTGTGAAAGAGGGAATATGGCATGGCCCACAAGAGAGGAAGGGTGAGTGATAGACCACAAATCCAAAGGTGACTGTTTAGGGCAGGCATCCCCACTCCTAAACCAGTCACCATGAGACATGAGAGGTGACGCTTTGCACTGGGCATCCCCAATCCATAAGGACCCAAAGACAAATGGCTGAGGATTCTTCTGGCCTAGCGTTAGGACTTTTGAGACAAGAGACTTTTGAGAAGTTAGTGAGAGAGTGTGGGCAGAACACTCGAGACAAGGGAAATTGTGGAACATCACTCACCTAGAGAAGATTGGCTGGTGTGGGATGGAGAGACGGACAACAATGGAGAAAGAGAGGGTCCTGATCCAGCATCCTCCTTGGCTGGCTTTGCAGGGTCCATAAAGTCAGGAGGCCTAATTGAGGCCAGCAATCAAGTCACCGGTATAGGATTTGGAGGTAAGCCTAGGTTGAGCTGCTGTTGCCTACTGCTTTACGAGTAGCAAACTTAGGGTGACTGAAGCTGGGGCGATGGCTCCCTATTCCCATAGAATGGAACCCTTCCGGTTTCAGCACCAAATGTTAGGTTGCTAAAGGAGGAATACACGAGGCCAAAAAGGGTGAAGAATTATGAATTTATTAGGTCATCTGTATACCAGATGGAACATGCCCCAAAATGGCACCAGCACCCAAAGACAGGAAGTCAGAGGTTTTTAAAGGACTCTGAGCAGAGAATTCTGTTTAGGTCTGGATTCTGGGAATTTCCAGAGGGGAGAGATAATGGTCTTAGCAAGTGGGATGTGGTCTAAGCAAGTGGAATGTCCATTGTGTAGTGGCCAAAAGGTCAGTTCCCAGAGGAGGGGTATTGATTCAATTATTTGATCAGACCTAATAATAGATGCATCTTGAGGTCACCAGGCCTCAGGGCTGGGCAAGGGAACTCAGCAGCCTGAGCCCATAGATCCTGGTGGCAGTTGCCAGGCTCTCAACAGACCATTTTCTTTCCACAAATTCCTGCAAATGCAGAGTGAATTAGGTGTACCGGTTTCTGGAGCTTATTTCAGGGCCTCACACTCTTGTGGCCTCTGAGATAGTGGTGTCCTGCCACTCTTGTAGCCCTTGGACCTGGGTGCTTTGAAGAGACACTAAGCCCAGAATCCTAAGGACATGACCAGGGCTTCATGAAGTGGACCTTGTTTTTGGCAACCAGTGTGATGAGTGGGAGGTCCTCCAGGGCAGCGGTCAGCAACAGGTGGTCCGCGGATGACAGAGAGTCTGTGAGGTCCGAAAAGTTGGCAATCGCTGCTCTAGGGCATAGGATCCCGAATGTGCAAAGTCTTGGAATGAAGAGTGAGCTGATTCAGGAACCAGCAGGTGTGATATATCTATATCTATATCATCTATGTCTATCTATATCTCTCTCTCTCTATCTATCTATCTATACAGTGGGGCCTTGACTTACGAGTTTAATTCATTCCGTGACAGAGCTCGTAACTCAAATTACTCGTATGTCAAATCACGAGTGAGACATGTGATGCTGGGCTGATGTTGTGGTGTTCATTGTGATGTGGTGTTCACCACACATTGTGACATTTGCTGCGCCAACTAGTATATATATATATATATATATATATATATACACACATATATACATATATATCCTATCTAATAATAGACAAACATGGTAATTTACCGTACCTTCGCTCCGCCTCCCATTGGCTAATCAGCACGATATGCAAATTGACCACCAACAAAGATGGCAGCTAATTTGCATACTGCAGTTGGGGCCAGCAGTGCACAACACTGCCTGCAGGACCCTGGACCCGGAACCCTGACCTGGCAAGGCGGGGCCGGTAGTGCCCAGGGGATCCGTGACCTGGCAAGGGAGCAAAGCAGTGGAGAAGGGAGAGAGCCCAGGTGGCAGAGAAGGGAGGGAGCTGAGGGCTAAGCGGAGAAGGGAGCGGGGCTTCGAAGGGAGAGAGCCCAGGTGGCAGAGAAGGGAGGGCTAAGCAGAGAAGGGAGCGGGGCTTCACTCCTTTCTCTGCTTTGCTGCGGTCTCAGGAAGCCCTATTCTTGCAGGAATCTTCCTGCAACGGGCCTCAGTATATATATAAAAGCCCAGCTACCAAACAACAGGACAACCAGAAACACTGGTGCACTAGCCACCAGGGGGCAGACACTCAGTGCAGGAGCTGCCCCTGGTGGTCAGTGTGCTCCCACAGTGGGAGCAGCCGCTTTGAGGGCAGGTCCACAGCCTGACTGGGATGAATAGCACTCCCACAGTGGGCCGATCCCCGCAGACCACGTCCCCCACCAGTGCAAGAATTCGTGCACCAGACATCTAGTGTGTATGTGTGTGTGTATGTGTATGTAGTAAGGAAGGAAGAGGGATAGAGACAGAGAAACACTGATGAGCAAGAAACAGGGTTCAGTTGATGCCTGCACAACTCCTACTGTAAATCCAGCCCACAAGCCAGGCATGTGACTTCACCAGTGCAGGGATCTATGCTCAACCAACTGAGACCAATCAGCCAAGACTGTAGATTATTTAATATAGGAAGTCATGGTCATGTTGGTAATGGTAGCAGAAGCTTAGAAGGGACAGTGTGAGCCTGAGGACTACCTTTCCTGCTGGGGCTACTGTTTGTGGGAGGTGGCTGTCACAACACAGCATAGGAACAGAAGTTGTCATGTAGAATATCAGGGAGAGATCATCGTTTTGCAGAGGCCAGTGCCTTTAAAAGATGAGTGGACTTGAGATCAATTGGAGCCTGAAGATTTTTTCAAACAACATGAGACTAGGGCTGGTACATATTAACTTCTCTAAACACTCACCAGGACTTTGTTGTGACTCTTGGTGTGGCCTATATGTAGGGCAGGGGTCCTCAAACTTTTTAAACTGGAGGCTAGTTCACTGTCCCTCAGACCATTGGAGGGCCGGACTATAGTTTTAAAAAAAGCTATGAACAAATTCCTATGCACACTGCACATAGCTTATTTTGAAGTAAAAAAACAAAATGGGAACAAATACAATATTTGTATTTGCATGTGGCCCGCGGGCCGTAGTTTGAGGACCCCTGATGTAGGGAGTTACATTCAGTATTGTGGATTAGCTTAAAGGCATGAGTGGTCATTTGTGAAACTCTGTAGGTATGTGCAGAGGGCAATCGTGGCTGGGACTTGCGTGGCGGTTAAGTGAGACATTTTGGCAAGTATTCTCTGGACAACACATACTGAGCAATAAGTATGAGGCCAAGGAGAGGACTATGGGGTCTAGGGCTGGGAGAGTGCATATGTGAGAGAGGTGTGGTAGAATGATGTGTACTTTGAGAGGGAATGTGAATTCATGGCCACAGCACCTTGACATAAGAGTGAATGACGGGAAAGTTCATCTCTGCTGTAGTCTGGATGATCCAATAAGGTGAATTTTAGGGTAATTGCCTGTAAAGTGGGGTGTTTTTGGTGCTACATTCTAGGTACAGAGCTTAGGTGCCATTTAACTAACCACCTGCCTTTTGTTGTTGGAGGTGACACACTAGTTTATAGGAATGAGATAGCATACATCAGTGTTACCCAGGCTTCAAAATCTTCACTGGCATGGGTACGGATATAGGAATGAGATAGCATACATCAGTGTTACCCTGGCTTCAAAATCTTCACTGGCATGGGTACGGGTTAAGGGTAAGGATAAATGGATTATGGAGGTAGTGAACTATAATTTTGGAAAAGAAGGTGATTAGGGCCAATTTGTCTTCACCAAATCAAATATGCATTACCTTTGAAGTTGAGCCTCTGGGAATGAAGCTGTGTGAGAGAAGTGTTGTTCAAAGAACTATGTGCAGCAGGTAGTGCAAAGGAATGGCCTCAGCACCTTGGGATTGGGGTCAAGAGGATGAACTGTGATATCATGTATTTGGTGTCTTTGAGAAACAATATAAGGTACTACAAGGTATTGCCTGACAAGACCAGTATCATATCACTTAATCACTCTTTATGGCCAGCATCTATTTTTCTTAAACATCTTTTTATTGATTTCAGAGAGAAGGGGAGAAGGAGCGAGAGATTGAAATATCAGTGATGAGAGTGAATCATTGATCAGCTGCTTCTTGCACATGCCCTACTGGGGATTAGGCCTGCAACTGGACATTTGCCCGTGACAAGTATTGAACCTGGGACCCTTCAGTCCACAGTGTGACAATCTATCCACTGAGCCATACCTGCTTGAGCAATCTATGGTTTTGACACCCACTTTATTGATTAGAGTCAGTGTGGCTCACATGAGAGGTCCAGAGTTCAGGTATCTTCCATCTGCTCAATTGCTTTTATTTTTGTGGTAAGACAAAATATCAGCAGCAATATAAGAAGAAATTGACTTTCATGGGATGAAGGCCTGGTATTTGCTCTGATGTGTGGAGTGGAGAGAGCACATAGATGTGGAGGGTGGGGACTATGACAGACTTAGAATCTTAGGTGTGAATCTGATCATGGGTTGTACTGTTCCCATTTTGGCAGGATATGAACTTTGAGGATGTGGCCATTGCCTTCTCTCAGGAGGAGTGGGGGCTCCTTGATGAGGCTCAGAGACTTCTGTACTGCGATATGATGCTGGAAGTGTTTGCACTTGTGTCATCTGTAGGTAAGTCCTTCACATTTTCCCACTGTCCGGAGGTGATGACTTCTCTTCCTTTACTCCTCAGGCATAGCCTTTTCTCTCCCACAGCCAGAACATGGCCTCTGCTAACTTCCCCCACTGTCCTGTCAAATGTGCAGTGGTTGCCAGGGATGAGCTCTATAGAGATTCCTGAGCAAAGAACTCCACAAACATCCCTAACACCTGTTACCTCAAAAAGTGCAGGAAGTCTCAGGGAGTCAGGAATCTTGCAGTGAGCTTAATGGGTCCCAGCTTGTAGTTTCTCTTCATAGGAGGCTGACAGTGTCCACATGCATGGCCTCAACTTCTGCACTCTTTCTCTAGGTTACAGTTCTTTGTGGCAGCCTGTGCCATGTTATGGTCTTTACTTACATGAACCATGGGCTGTTTTTGTAAGACCCTTTGTTCAATTGTTTGTAATATACTTTTCCCTGAATACTGTAGCAAGCTGTGTTGCTCTGGCCCAGTGCTGACTGCTCACCTCTTCATCACCTGTTCCTTTGCACTGCTGCCTCTACAGTATTCTGCAACATTGACTTGCACATGTGTTACGAGGTACACCTACATGCTAAGTAGTCCATGAAACCAGCAACTTCTTTATTGAATTTTACTTGGCGTAAGACCTAACCAACCTCTCCCAGAGCTCGCCTCCATGTCCAAAAGACAAGCCATGCTAAATGCTGTCAGTTGAAGGATTAGTTAGAGATCCATATTCTACTCCATGTGGTGCTTGCCATGTTTGTGTCATATTTCTGGAGAGGCCTTCCTGTGTTGTGATCTTCATTAGCCCAGAAAGTCAGTGTGAACCTCTTATCAATCCTTCCTGCACATCTGTTATTTTCAGACATTTTAATGGGACCAACATGTGATGTGCAACACACTTTTGCACTGGGACTTCCCCCTGTCACCACAGTCAACATTTATTTCCTCACCATTTCTCACTTTTCAGGTTGTCGGCATAAAATGGACGATAAGGAGGCCTGTTCTGAGCAGAGTGTATTTATACAAGGAGAATCACAGGTCAGGGCTTCTAAGACAGCTCCAGCCACTCAGAAGACCCATCTGTGTAAGCGGTGTTTCTCTGTGTTGAAAGATATTTTGCACCTGACTGAGTCACATGCAGCATACTTTGAGCAGAAAGCCTTCATTAGTGACGCATGTGTTGGAGACTTCTGTTTCAGTGCAAACCCTCACCAGCAACAGCGGAATGAATGCAGGGAGGAGCCCTGGAAAGAAGCTATGGACAGGGCCTCCTTTGTGAGCAGGTGCAGCTTCTCCTTATCTTCAGTGCCTTCAGCCAGCGGGGAGGTTGGGGAAGACTTGCGATACAATTCAGAGCTTCCCCAGCACCAGGTCACTCTCAACACTGAGGAGCTGCATTGCGGCAGTGAGATTTCACAGGAATTTCTTGATGGAAAAATTCATCACCAGTGTGTAACAAATGTAGGAAAGTGTTTAGACAAAACTTTAACCTCATTCGACACAAGAGAGTTCACAGTGGAGAAAAGCTGTATGAGTATAGTGATTGTTGGAAATCTTTCAGACATAAGTTTAACCTCAATCAACATGACAAAGTTCACACTGTAGAAAATCCATATGAGTGTAGAGAATGTGGTATGTCCTTTCGTCAAAAGGCTTACCTCACTAGACACCATAGAGTTCACACTGGAGAAAAGCCATATGAGTGTAGAGAATGTGGGATGTCCTTTCGTCGAAGGGGTCAGCTCACTGTACACCTCAGAGTTCACACTGGAGAAAAACCCTATGAGTGTATACAGTGTGGGAGGTCCTTTCGTCAAAGGGCCCAACTCACTGCACACGTCAGAGTTCACACTGGAGAGAAGCCATATGAGTGTAATGAATGTGGGAAGTTCTTCAGAGAAAGGGCTACACTCATTAACCACTATAGAGTTCACACTGGAGAAAAGCCATATGAGTGTAGAGAATGTGGGATGTCCTTTCGTCTAAGGGCTCACCTCACTTACCACCTCAGAGTTCACACTGGAGAGAAGCCCTACGAGTGTAGACAATGTGGGATGTCCTTTCGTCAAAGTGCTCAACTCACTGCACACCTCAGAGTACACACTGGAGAGAAGCCATATGAGTGTACTGAATGTGGTAAGTCCTTCAGTATAAGAACTACACTCATTAAACACCGGAGAGTTCACACTGGAGAAAAGCCATATGAGTGCAGTGATTGTGGGAAGTTTTTTAGTGATAAGTCTTACCTCAAACAACACCATAGACTTCACACTGGAGAAAAGCCCTATGAGTGCACCGATTGTGGAAAGTTTTTCAGTGCAAAAACTAAACTCATTAAACACCAGAGAGTTCACACAGGAGAAAAGCCCTATGAGTGTACTGATTGTGGAAAGTTCTTCAGTGAAAAAACTAAACTCATTAAACACCATAGAGTTCACACTGGAGAAAAGCCGTATGAGTGTAGAGAATGTGGTATGTCCTTTCGTCGAAGTGATCACCTCACTGTACACCTCAGAGTTCACACTGGAGATACACTCTGCTAGATTTCTGCTAAGTTTCTGGTACAAGTGAGGCTTGAAGGAGCTGCATTGCACTTGCTAACATGCCCAGATCTAACACCCGATTGATTTGTGGTTGAAGAGATTTCACCTCTGTCACCTGGCTCACCTGAAGAGAGTGTATCAGTCCCAACCCCTGCATTCTCAAGTTAAATGTATTCTGTTCTCACGTGTGCTTGAGAAAATTATGATTACTCCAGCTCTTGACAGGATCTTCATTCCTTTCTCTCTGACGAGGGAATACACCTGACTGAGGGTTCTTCCAGGCACCCATCCTCAGCTAAGAAATGCTGCCTCACCCACACAGTGATTCTCTCTCATTGATGTTTCCATTTCCCTCTCCCTTCCTCTCTGAAATCAATAAAAATATATTAAAAAAAGAAAGAAAAAAAAAGTGCTACCTCTTTCAGGGACATGTGGTTCTCAAATTATGCTGTGATGAATTGTTTCAGGTTCTAATTCAAGCTGCCAACCGCTTTCTGTCCTCTATTCTGGTTTACAATCTTTTAGTAAAGGTGTTTTTTTTCTTTTGTACCTTTATTTTTTGGGTTATATTCACTTCCAGGGATGATTTTCAAGCACAGTTGTGATGATCATCATGTAGAGTTATCAGATATTGTTTGGATACCAACATTTCTGTGTTTTAAGAGGGACAGCAAATCACTCTTCAACCAGTACTGGTATATAGTGCATTGCTGCCCAGGGCCTTGAAAGACTGCATGATTTGGTAGTTCTAATTTGTAGGTTTGATCCCGGCCCCTATGGGGCTATGTAGGAGGCATCTAATTTTTTCTTCTCTCTCACATTGATTTCTCTCTCTCAATCTCTCTGTTCCTCTCCCCCTTCTCTTGTGCTCACTAAAAATCAGTGGGAGTATATCCTCAAATGAGGATTACCAATAAAACTCAAACATTCACCCCAGTGCCCTGAGGAGGGGCCTCTGCCTACACAACTCAACTTTCCTCACTCTCCTGCTTTTGCCTGGGATGTTCCCACTGCAGCTGGGTACACTATGTCCTTCCCAGGGTTTGATAAAGAGGAGCCCAAGGCAAGCCCCTGGAAGGGATTTGGATTCTGTGTCTGCCTGAGAGGTGATGTCCAGGGCTCTTTTGTCTCCATCCAGAGGTCCCTCCAGCCTGCTCTTTCCCCTTCTCCCAGGCACCTGGCTCTCTGCAAATGAGCCTAGTTTTGTATCTTGGAGGAGCCACCTTATGCTTTGGGCCCCCAAATCAGTTCACCTTTAAAAAATCCTGCCTCCAGCTAAGCTACTCACACGCCTGAGACCGATGGGTGTTTGAGTCTCTTTTCTTCATTTTAGGTATTATTTTGCACTTGAATTGTATTAAAAATGAAGCATGCCTCTCCCCCACCCCTTCACCCAGCTAGTCCTGGAGGTAACACTGATTTCCCAGGATATGATGTTGTGTATTTTCAATGTTCATAATATTCTGCAATACAGGTGTTTCCAGAAGAAGCTTGGTCTCAATGTAATTCCAAATTCAGAGGATCAGGTGTGGTTGGTGTACCCCATCCCTGAGTTTTGCCTGTGCATGGAAAACCTGAAATGAGGTAATAGTTCCTGGATTCTTGGGAATAGTGTACTGTTGGGGTTTGTGGTTGAGGGGGCAGAGAGGTTGTGTGACCGTGTTCCTGCCAGCTCATGGGCCAGGTTCCTTGAGTGGGTGGGCTGAAGGAAGGCTGTAGGGATGAGAACTTGAATCAAGGCTGAATGAAAGGTCAGCAGCCATGTGTGGGCATAGGGACACAAAAAGACTGAGGCTATGGAGAAAAACCAAGATGGTGGCATAGGTAAACTACCTGATATTGCTGCCTTGCACAACCACTTCAAAAATACAACTAAAAGATAAAACAGACATCATCCAGAACCGCAGGAAGGCTGGTCGAAGATTGCAACTGTTCCATTAAGCAAGACCTTTAGCTAGACTTAACCACCAATATGCAAAACCGAAGAGTCCGCAGAGTTGTAAAATGCAAGTTAAATCAAAATTAAAAACAAAAAAACCACAAAGCTATCCCCACTTCCAAAAAAGAGAAGCAAGCAAGGAGGAAGGGTTTGAAAGAGGCATTGAGTTTCACAAAGCTTAACTTGTTATGCTCCGCAGTGAGGGAAGGTTTGAAGGAAGGAACTTGTGGTTCTCTGAAGTCAAAGCTTATTACCCTTTCCTCTTTGGCACATTGCATTTTATAAATCAGTCAAGAGAAACTGATCTGCCTCATACAAAGTATTTAGAGCTAGTCCATTGAAGTAGACATACTAAGCTATTATAAGATTTTATTTTAAACCATCTCAGCCTATGTAAAAA